ACATTTTTAACCTAAAGTTCCTTTCAAAAGAGTATGTAAGCTAATCTTTGTCGTACTTTTTGATAAGTTCAGATTGTGAATCACTTAAAAAACCATATTCTTCAAGTTCTGCATCCATATCTGCCAGCCTTCTTTCCAAAAATAACTTTTCTTTTCCTTCTAAAAAACGCGTCATGAAATACATTACTAAGGAATTTGTTTTTTGAAATTATCAGACTGACGCTCTTTTGTATTTTAAGCCACTGCTGAACAAATATTTTTAAATAAAAAACAAATGTCAAAATGACCTTTAACAGCTTCACCAAACAGGAATTTGACGCGTTCATTTAGTTTATCCCTTTTACTTTTTAGTGTCTCGTAACCTGTAACGTATTTTCCAACTTCGCTTAAAGAACCAGTTGATTAATCAATATAACGAGTTTCATAATTTTCATGATCTGCAGTATTATTAGCATTCACGCTTCTTGTGACTAAACTACTTATAGCTAAACATTTTAAGCAGCAAAGTCAGTGAACAGGAAACAACTAACTTTTCTCATATTCCTGAATCACTGCTTCAAAATCGTTGTCACACGTAGCACTCATTCTGTCCACTGTCAACGACGTCTTCTGGCGTTCTGCTGCTACGAGGCGCTTCCTTTTATGGGGACCTTGAGGCGTTTTATGACTTTCTTGCGCTTACTGTGATCCAAGCATGAACTCATTGTCTGTAATATTTTAGTGTCAAGTGTTTTTAACCAGTTCGGATGTGAGGAGTTTGCTGACGGACATGCAGCAAATGCAGCGAATGACTGTATCGCACAAATACTTTTTGGTTGTTTATGTACAGTTTAAACTGTTTATTTGGGCAACTGCAAAATTCGAAAAATAAATTTTGATTGTCCATTTTTTGATGTTATTTGACTTGTGGTCGTTGCTTAAATTGCACTATTAAAAGTAATGTGATAAAACAAATAAGTGTTAGCCACTATCTGACGCCTCTGAAACATTTGGAAAAGATGCAAGCGATTTGAAAGTTTAGTTTTTCCTGCATTAAAAGTACGTTTAAATGTTTTATTGCTAAGACAATTTACGTTAGCTTAATTTTTTTTCCTCTACTAAACATTATGGTTTTATAACTTTCTCCATCAACTGTAATTCGAAACTGTTTTAAAGATACTTCATTCTTTTTGTTCAAGCTATCAGCATCTTGTATCAACAGCAATGAAGAATCCCAATCATAACGTTTTAAGGCAACCTTACAAAGTACTACAAAGTATCCTGTATCTAAGACTTTAATCAACTTATTCAGTGGAATGACTTCAACTTTTCGCATTTCCTTTAATCTGCAATGAATTTTTGGTTCCACTATGCTTCCATTGCTCTAACAAACTGAAAACCATTTGTTTACTCTTGAAGCACTAAAACTTTTAATAAAAAATTTGAAAATTTATGGAGCATAAACGTTTCATTACTATTCTTAGACACCACCAAATGCTACTTTTGCTGCTTCAGAAGAAACTTTCGTATTAAGAAGGCAAGCAAGTTTGAAGTAAAACATCTTCCAAAGAAATGGAAGACCGTAAAATCAAAGTATTGGTATAAGAGCTGGTTATTTGTTTTCAGTTCATTTTAAAGCAGGAAAATAAAACTCATAGGAGAATTGCAAAAAACACTTTATCTCTGAGCTTTTAATACACTAAAATCCCCAGTACGCTAAAAGCAGTCTGAAACGAACAGCAATTTTTGGCTGAATATTTGGAAAATACTGTTTTTTACAAGTGCAAGTTATTTCACTGACAATCGAGCAATGAGTTCGACTAAGAGAAACGAACAAGGACTCCAGTTCTAAAATCACAAGTCTGTTTTTGGTGCTCTGAAGAACAGTGTAAAGATTACTTAGCGGCAATGATTCAGCAAGAAAGATTATTACTGGGGAATGAAAAACTGCTGAGCATGCCTTTCAGATAAAAAAAAAGTTAGTTAATACTGATCGGATTTTGCTTCCAGAACTGTAAGTAGTTTCTGTTCTTCTCTCTAAGGGTAACTGCTCAGTTTTTTGACACCCTCTTTGATACCGCTCTTCAATACTTCACAATGTTTTTGGAATGTGGCCGACACGCAGATCAAGTTAGGAATAGCGGAAAGCACACTGTAAACTGTGCCAACTCTTATAGCCGTCTTTCTTCTATATGGATGGTACTCTTGTACCATAAATCTCACGCCAAACCTGTTCATTATTGTTTCTTCAGCTATTAATCTTAACCTCAAAGGTATTAAGTCTGTCAGTTTTCTGAAGTATATAGTTCTTTGCAACATAGAAAAACGCCTCGCTCAGAATATCCCCCGTTTCTAGAGCTAAACTATCTCAGTATTTTCTTGTCAAAGCATTCCCATAAAAACAAACTTTTTCCCCCAACAAAAGCTCAATCTAACTTTGATGGTTTTTTGCTGTTTTGTAGTGTTTTCATTCCGGTAACAGTAAAATATGACACCGGTTTATAAAAAAAAAAAAAGAAAATTTGCTCAAGACTGCGTGAACAAGACGAAGCTGCTTCACTATGTATCACGATATATATATATATATATATATATATATATATATAT